TGAAGGGAACACCTCTCCACGTACAATAAGAATTGTGAATTAAAGATTTAAATTAGTCCCAAATGAATAGAAGGTGCTTGGGAAAACGACGCACTGCCATGCCCCTACTAATACATTTTCTCTTTCATACACATCTGACATCAGCATTCCGAAGGAGGGATCTTCCCCACTGTCAGACTGAAATATGCCACAGGAGATGCACCTCTATACGCTTCTCATTTTTAAGATGAAACTCTGTTTTGGCTCTTGGATGGGAGGTAAAGAGAGTGAGTCATATTAGGCCACTTTGGCCCCCTTTGTTGTTTCAATTAGCATCATTCTACAAACACTCAGCTATGTATAGTTGGCCCAAGAAAACCATGCCTGCGCCCAGTAAGACATCCAGCCTGTCAGTCTGACGGTTCGCTGGTGGACATTAAAGCACTGAGTTGACCTGGAGCAAATGCAATAACGTTAAGTCCAAAAGAGTCCTTGTCCTGAAGACAACAAAAAGGTTGTAAATTAAGCTTAACTAATTTAACCGTAATCAGTACTTGAGGGTGGGAGGTAACGTCTTGTGTCCTATTCCTTCTGCTGCCCCGGAAGGGAGGGGTTTAGGGGTTGTAAGTCCCAGAAGATGTGCAGTTTGTCCCAGGTACTGACTCCTCGGCCATGCCTCAGCTCATCACAGCATTTGGATGTCATTACACCACTGGAATGTGGTTAGAAAGACCCTCATGCTTGTTTTTAAAGTGACGGTAAATAAGCAGAACAGAAATGATATCAATCATCAGCACAAAGCAGCAGTAACAGCAGACCAACGTTCCTGCCTACAGAGCCATGAAGAGTTATGGGATAACTGGAGCAGGACGTGGTGACCTCAGATTATCTCGTGCAGCTAATTTATTTTGCAGATATGGAAACAGAAGGGGCAGACATCTTGCCCAATGCCACACAGCTAGTGGGTGGCCGAGCTAGGATGAGAGGCCAGGCTTCCTGACCTGCCAGCCAAGGCCCTTGCAGGCTGTCCCTGCTGTATGCCTCTGCTTCTTCCTATTAAGGAGACTGCCCTCAAATGGAGGGGTTTGGATCCCTTGCCCATGCAGCAAGGTCTTAGACTCACTGATAAACAGTGAGGTCAGGACAGAGATGTGCACAGGGATAGAAAAAGAGGTGTCTCAATATTCTATGCACTGGATCTAGGTTTTTCTTGGACCAGCTCTTGACTCTATTTTACTGGCTGTTACTCCCATGGGCGGGGTAGTGCTCCAAGCAGTGGCTGACTGATTTTCTGGTTGCCTTGGAGAATATGGCACTAGTGGCCCTCCTGCACTTCTGCAGGCCCACCCTTCAGACTAATATACAGAATAACTCTGGTGATGAGCAGGAGAGTGTCACTGTGGGATGGTGCCCTGAGATGATCCGAGGAGGCCTGCAGTCTGTATCCTCTTAAGTCCCCGAGAAAGGCATCTAGTTGGCTGGGAAGTAAGACAGGCAGCATTAGCCTGACCAGAAAACTATCGTTAATTCCTGTAGGCAACACATTGCTTCTTACACGATACCTTGCAGAAAGAGAAGAAATATCCTTCAGAAATAGCAACCCCCTCTGTATGTAGGACATGATCCGGGAACATTCTTCAGCCCATCAGCAGACTTGAAAGTCTGGCTTTGGTTCTTTAAATGTCTCCCCTTTGAAACCAGAATCATAGATGAGATGGTTTACCTTCTACAGAGACTTGCTCCAAACATGTGTATGAAGGAAAGTCTCTCAAGACCCCATAACATTGCGTAGGCTGAAGCAGTGACTGGATTGATGAACTAAGACTCAAGGTTGGATAATAATGAGACCCAGGCAGGGCTGAACAATGAAATGCTCTAATTGATTTTATGCATGTGGAATGACAGACGCACACCCCCGATCATGCTATAATGAATCCGCATGCTGTGTGTGCATATAGATTTCATGGTGGGTCAATTATACCACCCAGATCCTTCAGTTCCTGCAATCCGCAAGCCAATCTGTTACCAGGGTGGGAGGGCTCGGGGCACAGGCTGAAAGGTGGCAGAGACCGTAAAGCCTGTGGTCAGTTCACATTCCCTCCAGGAGAAAGCAGCAGTGGGGCCTGTGCACATACCAGCCACACCATGGGGCTTTGCTTCAGTGCACGGAGCATGAGCTTCTGCACCCTGAGCATGACCACGGGGCTGGAATTCCAAAGCCCTGGTTTCAATTAAATTCAAGTGGATTTGACTAAAAGTTTGAACTGACGCTAATTGGTTTTCAAAACACTGGGTAACAATAAGCGTTCTGGTCTTGCCCATGGACAGACGTACCCCGTTCTGAACATGCTCCTGGGCAGCAGGGCGGCCAGTGCACCCCTTACCTTGCCGGGCAGGGATCCAAACTGCAGGATTTCAGGAGCTGGGGCGGCCGCTGGCTGGTCACGCACAGGTTCTCATCCGCGGGCTCCCGTGTCTGTTTGTTCAGGCAGATCACCACCGCCTCCTGGACACCTGTGTACAGATCACGCTGTCAAGGTCAGAGTGGGCGTGTGGGCGGTGAGCAAGTGTAGACAGGGCAGCTGGTGGGAGGTCTCTGCGACTGGGAGGACTCGCTGCGTGTCAGGCAGTTGAAAGTCCGGGGCTGCCCATCTCGTCAGGCATCAAGCCGTCTGGAGAAAGCACCCAGAAGTTTGTGCCCCTTAAGGAGGGCAACTCCGCCAAAGTGGGGAGGCTGCTCCCAGCACTGCTGAAACGCTTAAAAAGATGCCACCCGGCTATGCAGCCGCCAGTGCTGAAACAGGATAATTTAAAGCAGAAGGAGAGCAGGTTGACCGAAGTAATGACCCCAAGACCTTCACACATTGTATTCTAATCAACAGGAGATGACGGTATTTGGAAGGCAGGCCCAGAGCCGTGTTTGAATGTCCAGCATTCTGTAAATTGCTGTGCTTCTGGGGCCTGACATCTAGGGCTTTGCTGGTTTCCTTTTGATTCAGGTTCATTTCTTTAGTGACCTAGAGCAGCTTGGCAAGTTGGAACAACGAAAGAGAACAAGATGCCTAATGACGAGTGACATCCATGGAAGACAATGTTCCCACTGCCACCCACATGCCCCTAACTACAGACCTAGTAAAACAGGAGTTTGAAGAGTGACTGGCATACGGTTACTTGGCGGCTCTTCCAAGGTGGGGCGTAGGATCTCTCATGGAGACTTTCATGGGACAGGGACACATGTAACCATGTGTCCAGATATAATGGACATCCTTGTCTTGTTTCTGATCTCAGAGGAAAAGCTTTCAGGTTTTCACCGTTTTGTATGATGTTAGCTGTGGGCTTGTCATATACGGCCTTTATTATGTTGAGGTACATTCCCTCTATACTCACTTTGTTGAGAGTTTTTATTATGAATGGACCTTTAATTTGGTCAAATGAATTGAATATCATTAAATTAAATTAAATTTAATGTAATATCCAGACATTTCATCCTGCTTCCCAGTCATAAAAGCAGTAGCAAAAATCCTCTGAGTGAACATTATTAGCCAAGTATTGAGGCTAGGATCCTGACAGGCCCCATTCAATCCTCTCAACAACTCTATGAGGCAAGCACCACTTTTATCCCCATTTTACAGATAAGGAAACTGAGGCTTAAAAGGGTGAAAAAACTTGCTAAGGTCATACAGTTGATAAATGGTGAAACTGTAGTGGCTGTGCCTTAGCACTGGAGCTTTAATGACTGACAACGTTAACATTCAAAAATACTAAGAGGATGTTATATCTGCTGGAGATCTTCAGGAATAAACTAGACATTTGTCTGGAATCATCTCAGCAGAATTCAGTTTAAAGAAGAAGAGAGACAGGACATTCCTGATAATTTGCTTTCAGTCATTCATAGCTATATATATAAAGATATGTACATCTAATGTACCTATGTGTTGTTAAATATTTGTATGCAGTTATAGCAGAGTATGTGATGATCCATGTAATAGTTTTATATATAAATACACATACATTTTCTTTTTAAAATTTTCTGCATTGCTTCATCAGATAGTACCTAATATAGTACGACAGACCTATCACTTCTCAGCCCTGTCACTTCCCTCCTCCTATCTACCCTGTGTTTCCCCAAGAAGTTATCACCCCAATCAATAGGCTAATGCTTTCCGAGGTGACGTTACACTGACTTAGAGAGGTCACTCAGCAAGCCACCATTTAAAAAGTGACATTTTAAAGCCTGAATCAGAATCGCCTTTCTTTTTTCCTAGTAAGTCTGACAAATCAAACACTAAAAAAAAAAACAATCAGTCACAATATTTTCCCTGTCAGCTTTCTTTCTTCTAAGCCTTTTACGAGCTTCAAAAATTTAATTTAAATATATCACGGCCAGTTCAGGGTGGAGCATTTGAGATTTATGCTAGACATTCAAGATATCCCATCATATTCTGGAATGCTGACTCCAGGGTGTCCTCCTGGTTGCAGCGGGAGTGAACCACTTGAAATTCATGGTATGATGATATAGCAAAACACTTCACAAGAAGTTGCTGATATCTTCATTGATACTCCCCACCGGAACAGTCTGGCATTATTAAGGTCATGATGACAAGGCGCTAGATGAGGCGAACTGTTCCATACAGAATCTAGAGCTGTGATTCTGTTTGAAATTAAGGTTTCAATTCATTTGCCTACCTGGTAGTATTCCAGAGATTCTAAATGTTACTCTAAAATAAAATATATTTTGGCTTTAGTCAGCTATTGAAAAGCTTATGAATTTGAGTTGGCAATCCCTGAGGCAGGAAGTGACCACAGGGCTTTTGTCATCTGCCTTACTTGAAAAGGCTTGCTTGGGGCAGGGCGTGTCTTGGGGCCGTATGAGTAACGTGACCTGTTTCCACTTTGTGAGATCCTTGTTTACAGAACTGAGGTCCTTTCAGGACTACATGGAATGGGATTGCAAGGGTTAAAGTTTCTAAAATGACATCAGTAATCTTCCGAGACACATAGAACACATTTACATGACCCCAGCCAATAATCCTAGCTCAGGATAAAAGTCACCTTCGGGTTGGTTAAACGCTGAGATTAAGAAGCATTCTAGAGCTACTACCTTCTAATCTAACGTCTTCTAGAAGGATGCCCTCGGCCTCCACAACACTGCATTCAGGGTCTGTTGTCATAGCATTCCTAGATGGGGGGTGCGGGAGGCTAAGGGCAGAGCTCTGTCGTAATGAAGGAGGATCTGGGACCAGCCCTGCGGTCAACACACAAGAAATTTTTGTGGCATTAATGAATGAGATGCCTAAAGGGCAGGGCATTCCAAAGCAGAGCGTGCAATTTGGGCCAAGGGGCGGTGGGAAGGAATGGGGGCCTGGAGGAGGCAACGTGGCGTGAGGGAGCAGCCCTGGCATGGGGGTGTGGGCAGCTGGTGAGGGAAGACGTGTGAAGACTTCACCTGTCAGTTCACAGTATACTTGGCTCAGGGCAGTCGGGCCGGGATGTGAGAAGTTAGCTCGTCAAGTCCATGCTACCTCCCAAACGGGCTAATTTTTGCACCGAGAAGGACGTTTTAAACCAACACAGAACACACGTGTGTGTATGGTCCTTTCCGATTCTGAGTTTTCCTTTCTTGACAGAAGCAAAAGCAGACGACTCATAAGGGAAAGGGAGCAAGATGCACAGGATTTCACCTTTTATACTTGCTGAAATCAATTTCAACTTTTCCTTCGGCTAGATTTTTTTTTTTTGTTTTTTTTTGCGGTACGCGGGCCTCTCACTGTTGTGGCCTCTCCCGTTGCGGAGCACGGCTCCGGACGCGCAGGCTCAGTGGCCATGGCTCACGGGCCCAGCTGCTCTGCGGCATGTGGGGTCCTCCCGGGCCCGG